CCGAGAAGTCGAAAAATCGGAACACTGGAAAATTCAAAAACTGAGACATCGGGAAATTGAAGAATCAAAATGTGCCAAAATCAAAAATTCGAAAAATAAAAAAATTAGAAATCGAAAAACTAAAAAATCTGAAACCGCGAAGTTGAAAAATCAAAAGATCAAGAAACAGAAATATCAAAAAACGAAAAAAATGGAAAAATGAGAAATCGAAATATGTATTGAAAAATCCCAAAGTTGAAATATCGAAAAATTGAAAAGTGGAAGAAAAATTGAAGAAAAGTTGAAAATTCGAGAAATGGGAAAATCAAAAAATCGAAACATCGAAAAATTCAAAAACTGAAACATCAAAAGATCGAGAAATCCAGAAGTTCCAAAAATTGAGAAATTAAAAAAAAATCGAAAAGTGGAAAAATCAAAAAATCGAAATCTTGATAAATCGAAAAATTGGAAAATATAAAACTGAAAAGTCGAAAAAGAGAAAGAAATCGAAACGCCGAAAACGATATAAAGTCTCAAAGCTAATTGTTTTAAGTAACCAGAAAAATTGAAAATTTAGAAACGTCAAAATTGAAAAGTCGAAAAATAGTAAAATTGGAAAATTGAAGAAGCGAAAAACTAAAACATCGAGAAACTGAAAAAAATTCCAAAACAAACGACCAAAAATTGGGAAATCGAAAAATTAAGGTATCAACACATAAAATTTGAAAATCGAAAAGCCCAAAAATCGGAACATTGGAAAATTCAAAAACTGAGACATCGAGAAATTGAAGAATCAAAATTGGCCAAAATCAAAAATTCGACAAATAAAAAAATTAGAAATCGAAAAACTAAAAAATCTCAAACCGAGAAATTGAAAAATCAAAAGATCAAGAAACAGAAATATCAAAAAACGAAAAAAATGGAAAAATGAGAAATCGAAATATGTATTGAAAAATCGGAAAGCTGAAATATCGAAAAATTGAAAAGTGGAAGAAAAACTGAAGAAAAGTCGAAAATTCGAGAAATGGGAAAATCGAAACATCGAAAAATTCAAAAACTGAAACATCAAAAGATCGAGAAATCCAGAAGTTCCAAAAATTGAGAAATTAAAAAAAAATCGAAAAGTGGAAAAATCAAAAAATCGAAATCTTGATAAATCGAAAAATCGGAAAATATAAAACTTAAAAGTCGAAAAAGAGAAAGAAATCGAAACGCCGAAAACGATATAAAGTTTCAAAGCTAATTGTTTTAAGTAACCAGAAAAATTGAAAATTTAGAAACGTCAAAATTGAAAAGTCGAAAAATAGTAAAATTGGAAAATTGAAGAAGCGAAAAACTAAAACATCGAGAAACTGAAAAAAATTCCAAAACAAACGACCAAAAATTGGGAAATCGAAAAATTAAGGTATCAATACATAAAATTTGAAAATCGAAAAGCCCAAAAATCGGAACATTGGAAAATTCAAAAACTGAGACATCGAGAAATTGAAGAATCAAAATTGGCCAAAATCAAAAATTCGACAAATAAAAAAATTAGAAATCGAAAAACTAAAAAATCTCAAACCGAGAAGTTGAAAAATCAAAAGATCAAGAAACAGAAATATCAAAAAACGAAAAAAATGGAAAAATGAGAAATCGAAATATGTATTGAAAAATCGGAAAGCTGAAATATCGAAAAATTGAAAAGTGGAAGAAAAACTGAAGAAAAGTCGAAAATTCGTGAAATGGGAAAATAAAAAAATCTATTAATCGAAAAATCAAAACCTTGGAAAAGCGACAAATCAAAAAATCGAAACATCGAAAAATTCAAAAACTAAAACATCGAGAGATCGACAAATCCAGAAGTTCCAAAAATTGAGAAATTAAAAAAAATCGAAAAATGGAAAAATCAAAAGATCGAAATCTTGATAAATCGAAAAATTGGAAAATATAAAACCGAAAAGTCGAAAAATAGAAAGAGAAATCGAAACGCCGAAAACCCGAAAATCGAAAATATAAAAATTTGAAAAACCGTAAGAGAAATATCGATGAATTGAAAAATTATAAAATCGAAAAAGTAAAAATCGTGGAATTGGAAACCTGAAATATCGAAAAATTTAAAAATTTCCAAAACTGAAATGGCCAAAAATTGGGAAATCGAAAAATTAAGGTATCAACACGTAAAATTTGAAAATCGAAAAGCCCAAAAGTCGAAAAACTGGAACATTGAAAAATTCAAAAACAGAGACATCGAGAAATTGAAGCATGAATAGATCCAGAAATCGAAAAATTGAATCAAAATTGGCCAAAATCAAAAATTCTAAAAATAAAAAACATCTAAAAATCGAAAAATTAAAAAATCTGAAACCCAGAAGTTGAAAATTCAAAAGATCAAGAAAGAGAAATATCAAAAAACCAAAAAAATGGAAAAATGAGAAATCGAAATATGTATTGAAAAATCTCAAAGTTGAAATATCGAAAAATTGAAAAGTGTAAGAAAAACTGAAGAAAAGTTGAAAATTCGAGAAATGGGAAAATCGAAAAATCTATTAATCGAGAAATCAAAACGTTGGAAAAGCGACAAATCACAAAAATCGAAACATTCAAAAACGGAAACATCAAAAGATCGAGAAGTCCAGAAGTTCCAAAAATCGAGAAATTACAGAAAAATGAAAAATGGAAAAATCAAAAAATCGAAATCTTGATAAATCGAAAAATTGGAAAATATAAACCCGAAAAGTCGAAAAATAGAAAGAGAAATCGAAACGCCAAAAACCCGAAAATCAAAAATATAAAAATTTGAACAACCGTAAAGAAATATCGATGAATTGAAAAATTAAAAAATCGAAAAAGTAAAAATCGTAGAACTGGAAATCTGAAATATCGAAAAATTGAAAAATTCCAAAACTAAAATGACCAAAAATTGGGAAATCGAAAAATTAAGGTATCAACACGTCGTAAAATTTGAAAATCGAAAAGCCCAAAAGTCGAAAAACCGAGAAGTCGAAAAATAGAAAGAGAAATTGAAACGCCGAAAACCCGAAAATCGAAAATATAAAAATTTGAAAAACCGTAAGAGAAATATCGATGAATTGAAAAATTAAAAAATCGAAAAATTAAAAACTTGTAATTGGAAACCTGAAATATCGAAAAATTGAAAATTTCCAAAACTGAAGTGGCCAAAAATTGGGAAATCGAAAAATTAAGGTATCAACACGTAAAATTTGAAAATCGAAAAGCCCAAAAGTCGAAAAACCGGAACATTGGAAAATTCAAAAACTGAGACATCGAGAAATTGAAGCATGAATAGATCCAGAAATCGAAAAATTGAATCAAAATTGGCCAAAATCAAAAATTCGAAAAATAAAAAAATCGAAAAATCGAAAAATTAAAAAATCTGAAACCCAGAAGTTGAAAATTCAAATCAAGAAACAGAAATATCAAAAAACCAAAAAATGGAAAAATGAGAAATCGAAATATGTATTGAAAAATCACAAAGTTGAAATATCGAAAAATTGAAAAGTGGAAGAAAAACTGAAGAAAAGTCGAAAATTCAAGAAATGGGAAAATCAAAAAATCTATTAATCGAGAAATCAAAACGTTGGAAAAGCGACAAATCAAAAAATCGAAACATCGAAAAACTCAAAAACTGAAACATCAAAAGACCGAGAAATCCAGAAGTTCCAAAAATTGAGAAATTAAAAAAAAATCGAAAAATGGAAAAATCAAAAAATCGAAAATTGGAAAATATAAACACCAGCCACTTGAATCATGGCATCATTTCACATTACGTAAATTCTTTGCTTGAATCGTTGATAAAGTGTGGCTTAATTTAACTTCATGTAAATTTGTTAGCTTTGCAATTTTTCTCTATCTCGCAATTATAGCCTCAGTAATTTTGGTTGCCGTATAATTTAAACTGAACGTAAATTTTCATGTTCTGCAGTTCCTAACTCTACGTAAATTTTTTTATCTGCACAAGTTTTACTTCACACCAGATTTTTTGTTGTTTTATAAATCTTTGCTAGTTTTTTTTGACCATGTAAATATTTTGTTGATTAATGTTTCCATCATAGAAATTGTTTTAATCTCAGATAAGAATTCTTTGCTGCTTCAAATTTCACGAGAGTGTATGACGAATTTAAGTGTTGTTAATTCAGGTAAATAACATAGAAACACGTGGCGGAAGCGGAGTGCGCGGTTCCTTGTCGAGCTGGCGGTCGCGCCATCTGCACAAAGAATGCAGGCCTAGAATAGAAGTCAGGGGCGGTCGGGATGACGTGACGCTGTCGGCTTGTTCCAATAGCCGGGACCCAACCATGAGTTTGCGACCGTAACGACTTGCTCGTACGGCATGTGCTGTGCTGCAGTGCTTGCGATAGTATAGAACAACCTATGAGTAATTCTAATTTTGAATGTCAGTTATTATTGAATTTAAATTATGAATATAGTCGCATACAACAAATGTCTAAAATTTTGTCTTTATCAAATTTTTCAAAGTGCAAAAAGTAATTTGTAATTGTAATGAACTACTATTGTTACTGAATAATGAGTAATTGTAATGTATTACTTTTTAAAATATCCAATCACTGCAAATGACGTACTGTGGTGACCGAATTTGAATTAAAATTCTTATTTGAATAATTTGCAGAGCATGAAAATTTACGTTCAATTTAAATTATACAGCAAAGAAAATTACTATTAGCAATCTTGTATGAGGAATTAAGAAGTGTTATAATGTACCTAACCTAACACTTAAGTATAAGCATGTAGAAACCTTATTTATAACTTGGTAAGCAAAAAATGAGCTCTGACTAAGTGAATTTCATGAAATCTCTTTAACAAGCACTGTATCTTGAGTTAGAACCAGTTAACGATTAAAATCCTGATATGAACTGTGAATTTACAAACAATAAAACAAATTTACACCACGTGTTAGCGTCAATCAAAAATTCGCATATTTCTTCTTGAAAACAGTGATATTTATAGATTTTAGTTTAATATTACTGGGTCTTTTAGAATGTATATATTTTATTATCACGCAAAAAAATATGTATATGGAAATACAAAATTTGAAAAATCAACTAAAACGTTGTTTACAACAAGAAAAACAATGTTTTCTACTTTACATCTTCATCTACATGGTGAATTTTTACGTGCTTCTTTAAATTCGACCGTTCTTTAGCTCTATACACACACTTTTCGCATTCATACCACTTAATATCTTTTTCGTCCAAATGTCGGGCAATTATGTGCCTATTCAAGTTCGTTTTCGCCTTAGCTTTATAAGGACACTCTTGGCATTCATACCATTTAATATTCCCTCCACTTAAATGATGCGTATTCACGTGACATTTTAAAGCAAAGTTGTGTTTAGATTTGTATGGACATAGCTTGCATTCGTACCACTTGACATCACCTCCATCCAAATGATGAACATTTATATGCCTCCTTAAACTGGAATTCTCCTTAGCGGAATATGAGCACATTTTACAAATGTACCTTTTGGCATTTAATTGTTCCGAATGCTGCGATTTTAAATGACTCTTCAAATCATAGTTCCGTTCTGACTTAAATGGACAGCTTTTACATTCATACCATTTAATATCCGGTTCTTCCAGATGGATTTTTTTAATGTGCTTTGTCAAAACATACTTTTGCTTAGTTTTAAATGAACACCTTTTGCACTCGTGCCATTTAATATCCTTGTGGTACGCGTTTACGTGTCGAGTTAAATACGTTTTTAGTTTGGCTTTAAATGAGCAGTCTTGGCATTCGTACCATTTAATGTTCCGCTCGTCTAAGTGGTGCGTATTCACGTGGCATTTTAAAGCAAAGTTGTGTTTAGACTTGTATTGACAATGCCTGCATTCGTACCATTTAACGTTGTGTTTATCCAAATGGTGAAGATTTACGTGTTTGTTTAAATTGGATTTTTCTTTAGCTTTGTAGGGACACTTTTTGCATTGGTGCCATTTAATATCGCTGTCGTTTAAATGGTATGCGTTTATGTGTCGTTTTAAGTGTGCTTTCATTTTAGCTTTGTAGGGACAGTCTTGGCATTCATGCCATTTAATTTCGTTTTCTGATAAATGGTGCGCTTTCACGTGACACCGCAAAACCCAGTTATGTTTAGATTTGTATGGACAATATTGGCACTGGTACCATTTAATGTCTTGATTAGTCAAATGGTGGACGTTTATGTGTCTATTTAAAATATATTTTTCTTTGGCTTTGTATGGACATTGTTCACATTCAAACCATTTAAAGTTTTTGTTGCAAGTGGCTGTGGTATTGTTTAGGTGTTGAAGGATTTTGTGTATTTTTACAGATTGTTGGAAGTCAGACTTGACACATTTATACCATATAGTAACACTCTTTTTGTTGTTTTTGTTTCCAATACAGGTTGTGGTGTGTTGTAACCATTTCATTATAAAGTAGGTTTCAAAGCCACATTTCGAACAAACGTAACTCCTGAGGGTGTACTCCACCTCTTGGAGTTCGTGGTGTTCTTTTCTGGTACCATGGCACTTTTTGATGTGTTGTTTGAAAAGGATTGTTACCTCAGTTTGGAAATTGCAGTCCGTGCACAAATAGTTTTCAATGTTGCTTGATTCGCAGCTACGGGGTACCAATGGTAACGTATGGCGTCTGACGTGGTTTACCATGAGGAACAAGGATGAAGTGTAATACGGGCAAATTTTACAATCATGGACATGGTGAGGCGATGGTTGTACACGAACCAGCTTCTCTGAGTATTGCAGCGACATTTCGGTCCACCTATATTTATTCAATGTTTATATCGTGGAGACAAATTTGAGTCTTACCAAAAATTTGAAAATCGTTGCACATAACCTCAAAAGTGGAATTCACGGGTGCGTACGAGAAATGCGTTTGGTGGTAGCGTAGCACCCACTGAAGGTGATTTTTGGTGTTGAGTTTGAGTAAACTTATGAATTAAAAAAGTTTCGTAAAATCGAAATGTCAAATTTTTGGCATCTCTTCTTCAAAGCGCTGAAGTGGCTCAAGTGTCGACAAGACTACGGTGCTTAGGTGTCAATATAAATATTATCACCGTAAATAAGGACTGTGTCACTAATTTTTCGATAATACTCGTGTTATAGATTTGTTTTACCGAGAATATTGCCATTATAAAGCAAAATATCCGTCTTTCCTATATTTTTTTAAATACCGGCATCCGAGGCACTTCCAAAGTAACCAAATTTTTGAAGTTTTAAGACACCTAATAAACATTTTGGCACTACTAATTTTGCTCTTGTAATTAAAGAAAAAAATCACTCTGTAAAAAATCGAACCACTTTTCACATCATACACAAAAAATACGATTACGAATTAATTACGTGAATTTGACATTTGAGGTTATGTGTGCCCTTTGATGGTTGTCTCAAATTTTGGGTAAGAATGCTTTAATTTTTTTTATATAACATAATTAATCACTTAAGTGTTGTAGTTAAACTAAAATGCCCCTTTTGGCATCTTGGAAGTGTGAACACAGCTACATTGAAAGTTATGATTGCAAGGACTGCAATTTCAAAACAGACCTGTCTATTTTGTTCAAACAGCACGTTAAAAACTACCATGGCCGTAGAAAACAAAACCATGAAGTTACCATTAAAAGTTACATTTGTGGTAAATGTAGCTTTGAAACATATTTTGCAATGAAATGGTTCCAGCACACTATAAGATGTATGAAAAATAAAGAAAATCGTGAACTAACAAATTGTCCATACCATTTAAACAAGCAAAACTTTAAATAGCATGAATGCCAAGATTGTCCCTATAGAGCTAAATTGTACCCCACTTAAAACGTCACATAAATGCGTACCATTTAAACGAGAGCGACATTAAATGGCATGAATGCCAAAAATGTCCATACAAAGCCAAATACAATTCATGTTTGAAAAAACACATAAACGTGCACCGTTTAGATGAACGCGATGTTAAATGGTACGAATGCAAACATTGTCCATACAAATCTAAACATAATTTTGCTTTGAAGTGTCACGTGTGAATGCCAAGAATGTCCATATAAGGCTAAGGCAAAAGCTAATTTAAACAGACATATAAATGCACACCATGTGGATGGACGAAGTATGGCGGTGCAAACGGTCTACATAAATGTGGAATAATTTAAAAATGTAAATTTTTTGTGATTGGTTTTTGTAAACTTGATATAATAAAGTTGTTTTGTAAATTTTTATTTGATTAGAACGAAAAAAAATCTCTGAAACTACTGTATCAACTACTTCAAATTTATATTAAAAGGCGTGTCCTCACTGAGAGGGAACTATTGATTCTTTTGTGTCCCGTATTTAGGGTCGACTTTACTACATAAGTCAAGCGTTTTTATTGAGTGGTGAGACGCAAAGATGGCGGAATGACACATTTTTCATTTGGTAAAGTACCCGGCTTTCTAGGTTAGATAAGCGACATCAGGAATTATTCTAGGTGTTTGACTTGCAGAGGGACAGTGTGAAGAGAGGAAGAAGCTAAGAGAAAGAGATAATAGGTTAAGTTGGGAAAGACAGAAAAGGGGTTGTATTGATCGGATTGGAGCGTTGACAGAAAGAAAGGGAATGGAAGTCGTTTTAGACAACAACACAAATGTAAAAAGAAGGAAATAGGAAAGATAAAAAGAACACAAATGTGATAATTAAGCATTGTGTAAAATTATTTAATAAATTTAGATTAAAAATTATACAATTAGGCAACCAATTATACACAATACATATAAGAAATGATCAACCATAATAACAATTGAAATTGTATCATTCCTTTAAAACTATAACGATTGATTTTGTTGTAATTCAAGATGACAACCGTAAGTTAATTATAACATTTTTTTTTAATAAAATTATTTGTAATAAAACTTACAGACTGCGAAAAACACAAATGTCGACGAAGTGGATGATCTATCTCAAAACTCTTCCTCAGTAAGTCATAAAATTACTATTAGCTTTTTGTTTAAAAATACAACCCGTTGCAATTTTGGCATTACCTACCTAATTGTTGGTTGCCTATTTATCGAATCGAGACAAAAACACTTGGTATATTCTAGTAGGTAAATCATAATTGAACCTTTTTTCCAGATGTTTAAAAAGAGACCTGGCACCACTGACAAAGGCAAAGACTACGAACACCTCTACATTGCCAGCTTAGTTTTAAAACTAATAATTGACGAAACCGTCGAAAATTTTTATTTGTCTTCGAATGATGACGAATTTGGTTCTTTCGACGACGTTGTAGTCAAAATAATACTCAAAGATCGAACGGAAACATACGCCGTCCAGCTGAAACACGTCACAAGAAAAGTAGTACTCATTGAGAGACTGAATTCACCGAGTGGTGAATTTAGCATCGAAAAGTACTACGAAAATTTCAAAAAGCATGAAAAGTTAAAGGAACCATCTGTGAAAATGGTTCTATTCACTAATTGTAAATTGAACACTGAGCACCTAAATCGGTTTAAATTTGGAAAATTGACACCATGCGAACAAAATAATTTGATTTCATATTCGGAAGGTAGCTGCTATACATTCGAAGCAAGTGAAGACAATTTGGAGAAGTATGAATTGTTTTTCAAAAATTTGTGTCTCTGTAGTGATCAACCAGATGTCAGACAGCTTAAAAAGGAAATATTCGAGACATTAGAGACACAATTCGGTAGTAATGAAAGTGTTTGTCGTGAGTACGTAGACTTCATAACTCAGTGGAGTATGAAAGAAGGGGACAAATTTAAACTGAATCAAACATGGATGAAACACGTGATAGCCCTTTGCGTGTTTTCTCCGTTCACTAAACCACTGTCCTTCGTTGAGGGTAAATCTGTCAATGACAAAGAAAAAATTTTCAGAGAAGCTGTTTCTAAATGTGATTTAGCTGTCATTGATGAACATAATTTTGAAAGAATCGAATCGATTTGGTCAGACGTTGTCGACGACTTAGACGATGTAGAAAGCACGAGCAAAATTAATAACTTGTACGAACTTATAGAAGACGATATAAGCACAAAAGCAAGTCTATATAGTGCAGATCTTTTGAAAGTATCGAGGCTCATGTGGTTACTGGGAAAAAGTCCATTGGTCGTTGAAGGTTGCCCACAAGTTTATCAAGCAATAAAAACATGTCAAGCTCAAAATCTCATCATACTCGACGACCAAGAGACGTTTAACGACAAAATCGTAGAAAGGGAAACGTTTCTACTTCAAAATTTGTCCGATTTAAAAAAACACAGACAATTGTACGAAGAAATCATAACGAATTTTACGTATTCGTTGGAAGGTCAAAGAGAAATTGAGTTGAAATTTCTAGTAGAAATGTGCGATGTTGACAATTTGATTTCTACAGATGATTTAGTTGAAATGTTGGATGCTCCATTGTTGATTGGAAACTTACAAGAAGTTCTACCACCAAGTCATATCGAAAGAAGATTAACAAAAATTTTGATAGATGTTGACTTTTTGAAAAATATTGACCCGAATGTAGTTGCTTTAATTGACTCTGTGACAAATGTTAACTCATTTCAACAAAATTTGTCAGATGTAGTAGTCACCATAATAAATGATGTAGACACGATTCAAGACACAATTCATAGTCTGAAGATTTACATTACTAGTGAAACTGATATATCACACGAGAAATTTGATACTTTGTGCAAAAAGAATTCAGATTTTCAATTACATCACTTTAAATATTTGGACGAACATCGTTTGGAGTGGCTAAGAAGTGAGAATTGTGAATGTTTTGAAAAACTTGAGAATTTCCAGCGACAAACCGAATTCATGGAATTCATAGACGAACGACAATATTTCAGTGAATCGAGGCAAAATATTAACATTATTTGTGCAGATCCTGGTATGGGCAAAAGCACGTTAATGAAGAGCTTGAAAAGTGTCAGTTTTTCGTCGAAGTGGATCATTTTAATCTACGCAAGGAATCATCCTCACCACTTTAGAAAAAACAAATCAGATATGGACAAGTTTTTGAAATACGTGCTGAAAATCACTTGTAAGAAGTACTCAAACCCATTGCACCAAATAGTTTTTAAGACAATGCTGGAGCAGGATCGAATAGAAGTAGCATGGGATGGACTGGATGAAGCGTCTGATGCCACTCAAATGTCGGTTTTAAGTTTAGTGAAAACTTTTTCGGAAAGAAACGTGAAACAGTGGGTAACTTCTCGAAATAACTTGAAAAGTGTGTTAGAAAACACACTTGCTACGTTTTCACGAAGTATAAAGGAGTTTGACGACGACGAGCAACGAGAGTATATCAGGAGTCGCCTACAGCTCCCCGAGGAAGAGTTATCTCAAACTATTACTAAAATAAGAGACAATCTAATGGCTTTTCCGAATTATGAAATCTTGGGCATTCCTCTACAAATTTATATGTTGACAGAATTATTTTTACAAGACAAAGAAAAGTATCTAGATTTGTTGAACTACATTTTCACTGTTCTCGATTTATATGAACACTTTGTCGACGAAAAATTTAGGGTTTTGTATGAAGAGAAAAAAGAAATCGTACTATCGAATGAACAAAATGAAAAACTTTTCGTAAAAGAAAAAGAAACTAAAATGAATTACTACAAACGTTTGGCTGCCAGCTCTTACATTTACAACTCATTTGTGGAAAAACTTTTCAACATAAATCGCAGTGTCGACAAGGAGGTTAAAACTTTTTTGCAAAAAATTAAAAATGAAGGTGATGATGTAGGATTCATAACCCGGATTGTATCTGACGACGTCGAATTCGCCCACAATTCCTACGGGGAATATTTTGCAGCCCTCTATCTCTTTGAACATCGAAGTTCAAAAGCACGCGACAAGAAATTTATTTCGAACAGTCGTTATAACAATATTCGATTTTTTTTAGATTTAATGTTGACGAGAAAGTGTAAAGGTTTCGTAGGTGTTATATACAAAAATCTTGCGATTTTGGGAGAACTCACTGAGACAGATTTAAAGCAAAAAGATGTCGTTGGTCGAGATATTTTGGAAGTGGCTTGTGCATGGACCAAAAATTACCCGATTGCGAAAAATAACACAGTTTTAAAAGATTTCGATTTTAACCAAGATTGGATGTTTAAAGATGAACAGGTCGAAAAGTATCTAAATTATCGTCACGTAGGGCCCAAATTTATCAAATTCAGTTCTTCCACTAGTGCCTGTTTTCAAAAGTTGCTACTTTTCTTGCCATTTTTGATTCCGTTGTATGACGGGAATCACTTTGCTGATGATTATTTAGGAGTAGTTTTGTACTATGCAGTTAGGTTTGATTTTTCGATGATTTTTGAGTGCATCGAAAATTCCCTCCCGTTAAAAAACGCATACAGTAATATCAGTCCAAGGAGTGTTTTAGCTGTAGCTCTTTATAATCGATCGAGGAAAATTTTGGGCAAACTGTTTTCCGAAGAAAGAGATTACTTCGAATGGGACTATCTAACGGATTTACGGATTTCACGTATGGAAACTGACAGAATGTTCACATTTGTGTTAGCGTTAGAAGAGTTTAAATTAGAAGTTCCAAATTCGGAAGGTCAGCTGTTGATACATTATGCATCTAAGCATCGCTTAATTAAGACTTTAAGTTTATTAATCTTTAATGGTGTGAAAGTGGACGTTCCGGACAGAAGCGGTCTGCTACCGATTCATTATGCTTGTGTCAATGCCGAATTAGAGTCAGTCGAATTCCTGTTAAAGAATGGTGCGAAAATCGATGTTCCGGATAAAAATGGTCTGCTGCCCATTCATTATGCATGTAAAAATTTTATCTTTGGATGCACAATTATACCATTTTTGAGCGAAAAAGGTGTTAATGTAGATTCCCCAGACCCAAATGGTCGACTGCCGATTCATTATGCTTGTGAACATGGATTTGTGACTGAAGTAGAGTCAGTAGTAGCTAATGGAGCCAAAGTGGATGCTCCGGATGGAAATGGTCGGCTGTCCATGCATTACGCGTGTTTAAATTACGCTGATTGGTACAGAATTATACCATTTTTGATAGAAATAGGTGCGAAAGTGGATGCCCCAGATGGGGATGGTCGACTACCCATTCACTATGCCTGTGAGCATGGAAATTTAGATCTGGTGAAATTCCTTGTAACGAATGGTGCGAAAGTGACGGTTCGGGACGCTGATGGGCAACTGCCGGTGGATTACGCAAGTAAAAATGAAAACTTTGCTAAAGAAATCACTAAATTTTTGACAGAGCAAAATGAAATTCCGTAAGTCTAAAACATCGTACCGAACAAAATAATTACAGAATTAGTCACAAACAAGTATAGTGGTGGAAATACCCAGGTAAAACTTGTCCTCTCCCTATCTTATGCACTTTGTGTGACAAAAAATTACCAAATTTTGAGTATGTCGTCGAAGTTTTTTTGTCAAATTTTTAAATTTATCATCATAATTATTTGTCAGACGAAATCTTGGCAACAGCTAACTTAAACAGACATATAAATGCGCATCATGTGGATGAAAAAAGGATTAGGTGGTATGAGTGTGAGTAGAAGTGTCCATGGACAAGGTATGGGGGCGCAAACTGTCTATATAAAAATGAAATAATTTAAAAATCAAATGTACCCTTTTTTGTGATTGGTTTTTGTAAACTTGATAATAAAGTTGTTTTGTAAATTTTAATTTTATTATAAAAGAAAAAAATTTCCGAAACCACAGTACTTCAAATCTAGATAAAAAGGTGTGTCCTCGCTATGTTGGTATGATAAACTCTGGATGCGTAGATCCCTCTGATGGGTGGTTACCGGAGTGAAAGTAATGCGAGCGACCTCCTTTAACACTTTATTCCATTGCTCTGTTTTACCGCATTCGTTACCATGGAACTATTGACCGTCCTGGTTCGATCTTTTGTGTCCCGTATATAGGGTCGACTTTACTTAACACCAGTCAAACGTGTTTATTGAATGGTGAGGTGTAAAGTGGCAGAATAACACATTTTACATTTGGTAAAGTACCCGTCTTCCTAAAAGGAAGAAGATAGAAAAGACAAAAAGAAGAAAAATCAGATAATTAAGCGTTGTATAAAGTAATTTAATAAATTTTAATTAAAAATGATAAAATCAGGCAACCAATTATACACATTTTACATATGAAATTATTATCTCCACCCCAAGGTAAATAAAAATAGCATGGTACAACCATAACAACCATTGAAATTGCATCATTCCTTTAATACCATATATAACGACTGATTTTGTTGTAATTCAAGATGACAAACGTAAGTTATTAATACATTTTTTTAAATAAAATTATTTGTAATAAAACTTACAGACCACGAAAAGCACAAATGTCGACGAAGTGGATGATCCATCTGAAAACTCTCCCTCAGTAAGTCATAAATAATTAATGTTAGTTTATTGTTCAAAAACACAACTTAAACCCAACATATTTTATAGTATATGACGTGTAGATGTAAGTAAGGCATAAAGTCAAGCATTTGATCAGTGGCGTAACTACCGGTGTTCCACGTGTTCGGCGGAACACGGGCCGCTGCTTCAAGGGGCCCGGCTCAGTCACACGAACATTTTTTTATTAGATTTTTTTTATATTATTGCCCAAATTACATCCTGAAATAAAAAATTCGAAAATGTGCGGTAATCCCAGGATCGATGGTCGATTGCTATTTACGAATTTTTTGCTGCAAAGGGCGGGTTTTAGCGACCGGCACAGGCGGTCGAAAATGCAGCAGCATCTGTTTGTAATAAACCTGTCGCAGTGTCGCAATCCCATTGTAGCAAATTTAACACCCCATGTAGTAAATTACCAATCTTTATCCGACAAAAGTATGACTAATTTATGATGCAAGACAACAAAATATTTAAATTTTGTCCTCAGTTCTACAGTGAAACTTCATGCTGTAATAAAACGTGAAAAAAAAATCAGTTTCAGTTGTGTTTTATGAAAATTTTCGTATTTTCAAAACTATTTTAATTTTGTACTTGTGGTGCTTTTTTGGAATAATAAAATATATCTGACGTATGTTACAACTAATTTTTTAAGTAGAAAAAAAACTGGACTGGGAAATTATTACAGAATGACCTACCTGTACTAGTGTCACTGAAATTATCACAGCATGTTTCACTTTTCTTACAATACCTCTTTCGGTGGTTTCAGCGGAAAGATCTTTTTCGAAATTAAAAATGACTAAAAATTTTTTAAGAAACAGTGAGCCAATGCAGATTACCTTCATTGAATCTCTCAAATGGAAATCAAATTGCCAGAAGCTTAGATGTGTCAAATTTTGTATCAACTTGTGCCCATTGAAAAGCAAGAAGAAAACAATTTTGAGATTAAAAAAAAAATGGGGATTTTATCCATACTTCTATACTTCTATACTTACTTATATTATAAAGTTGAAGAGTTTGTTTGGTTGAACGCGCCAATCTCAGAAACTACTGGTTTGAATTCAAAAAATCTTTTTGTGTTGGAAAGTCCGTTTATCGAGGAAGGTTATAGACTATATAACATCACCCTATGATTAATAGAAGCGGAGCAGCAATGAAAAATATCGGAAAAACGGGAAAATTATTCGTCCTTTGACAGCTTCCGTTGCTTACGCTGCTTATTAAACGGTTAAAGTTACATAAAAATCATGTATGATGGAATTGTTCCCTTCTAAAAGTTCTAAAAAAAAGTCCGCGACAGCATACGTCAATCTTTTAAGGTCGACTCAGTATAACCTTTTTTATGGTAATGAATTTTTTTCTAAAATACTTTAATATAAAATTCTGGTGTCACAGTGTTTGTAACCAATCTCCTCCGAAACGCCTTGACCGATTTTTATTAAATTTTTTGTGTATATTCGGTAGGTCTAATAAACTATTTTTTAAACCCCTAAGTGATAAGGGTGACCCACCAAACTTTTTTTATTTTTTAAACAACATTTTTTATTTTTATTTTTTTAAGATTTGGCATCAAAAAATACATATAACCCTAAATTTTAACCCTTCTACCACCAACCCCCATTTTTTAATAACGATATGAGTATCTTTGCTTTCATCCACAGATGCGCAATAGGGTTGCAAGATGGCCATTGAATATAATCATTGTCGTACGATAAATTTTTATGTATTTATTTTAATTTAATTTTTTATTTAACTATGTACCAAAATATTCACTAGAAATGCCAAAACAACGTTTGCCGGGTCGGCTAGTTTCTAATATTGTATATATTTTAATTATATGTCTCCAGGTAATTATTGTATTTTATTTTTTTAATTCAATGTTTCAGGTAGAATGATTTTAATAAAACGTTAGCGCTAATTACAATCTACTCATTCTTTACTCATTATACTCGTATTTTTAAATATTTTTATTTCGCTGTTCATTACAGTGTTGTAGAGCACAGGCCCGCAGTTTGATTGTTACGCCACTGCATTTGATTACATTTTTCACAAAAACTAATAATATTTCTTTACAAAAAATCGATCGAATGCATCTTGAGGCAACGTGTCCCAGGCTGTCTGCACCTGTGGACGTAATTCATCTAACGTTATTGGGAGGGTAAGGTAAATGACGCAGTATTTTAGCCACCCATGTTCGATTGGATTTAAGTCAGGTGACCGTGGCGGCCAAGGCAAAAAATTGACATTATTTTCGGCCAAGAAGTCTAAACTCATGTTAGCGATATGACGACGAGCATTACCTTGTTGCAAAATTACCTCTGTAGAATATATGACAATTCGAATACACCAAAAAAAGGACAAGTTAATACTATAAACAAGATATATAAAAACCTCCAGCAGATAGTGAAACAGACACAAATTTTTATAAGTGCTAGATCACCTTCAAAATTTAATTAATTGTTTGACTTTATGCTTTATTTATTGTTCTTGTATGGTTTCTATGTATTAGTATAGGTAATTTTGGGGTACGTTCAGTTTTAAAATGATAGTGTCAATGCATTATGAGTATTGGCTAAATAAGCAACCAGTCATTATAAAGTGAGATGCAATTATTTCCTACGCTGTATAACCATAATTTCCTTGTTAAATGCTGTTGCGACGTTGTCATGATTTTCCAATTCTGTTGAATTTTTTTAGCAATGGAAGGGTTCACAAAAAAATTCGCAACAAGGTTATTTTTTAAATCTATGCTACAATATTTTGTGGAATAATAAATAAAGTATGCGCTTTCTTGTGGTCTCACTTAAATCACAATTTAAAAATACAGAATGTTTAAAAAAATCCTAAAACTCTGTAATTTTCCAATTTCGTTGTTTCAGTTTTTTCAGAAAGAACATATTTTATTTATTTATTTATTTTTGTTCTTATTATTCTAATATATCGATGTGTCTCTTAAAAAAATAAAAAAAAAAAAACAATAATAAAAAACAAAATCAGATGCAGTAATAAAATACAAGGTGTTCTAGTTGAAAAAAAAACTAAAACATTGATATTTAGAAATTGTAATAATCAAATATTTTTATAAACACCTTGTATGCGGCAATGTCATTCCGTGTATACCATAACAAAGTGCATGCATTTATTTATCTCTCCATAAAATATTATAACACAGACTTTAAAAATAACCAAACTGCGATTTTTTTTTGTGAAGAAAATTGGAATAATGTGGCAACGTGGCATTAAAATTTCAAAGAACTGTGGTTGTATAGCCTAAGAAGAGGTCAGTCCAAATATCTAAAAATATAGAGGGTGTTTTATTGAAAAAAAAACTAAAGTATGTGTTGCGCCTTAAAAACAGAACACTCTGTAGAGCTAAAAATAATTTTAGAGCATAGTCCTGAAAGAACCGCACAACTTTGGCCTTTACCTTTTTTCTGACTCACTCTGTATATCTTAATTAAAAAAGAGTAATATTATTTAATGTATTGAAAAATTATATTCTTTTGTGTAAAAAAAAACAAAATTAATGTCATTTCATCTATCCAGTTAATAGACTATGTTATGTATATTGAAATAATATTTATTTTTTAAAATAATTGAGATATTTTAGTGGAACAGGTACACCCTACATACGGCAAATCTGGTTCACCTGACATATGAAAATTAATGTGGCTAAACACATCTGTACATACAGAATAGGACGCTAAGAAAGTCAAAGACCAAAGTTGTACGGTTCTTTGAGGACTACACTCTAAAATTAAAAACTAAGCAACACTTGTGTATTAAGGCGTAACATACAACTTACTTTTTGAAATACAACACTTGTACAAGTTTACATATTTTAATTGACCTCTCAAACCACAGTCTACTATTGAAGTTCTGATGCGACGTTGCCATGTAATGTCAATTTTCTTTGAAATTTTTTGGCAAACATTTTTCACTTTTTATTGAAATGTTGAACAAAAAACCGAAGAATTTTAATTCACCCGACAGTCTAAAAATTGAAATTATACAACTTAGAATTTTTTGCTACTTTCGTTGACTTTTACTTTCAAGGATTTGGACATTGCCTCTCAGAGGACTCCAGATTTTCCTCAGTAGTGTTATTAGAGTTGCATTATTCATTCCTCTTGAATAGTAGCTTACATTATGTGGTCGCTGAATTATATAATACTATAACTAAAATTTGTCCTTTCAGTTTAATTGTGGGTTGCCTAATTAACAAGTTTTCTATCGTTTTGAAACTGAACATGGCCCTGTTTCAAAAACTCTCGGTATATTCTAGTTAAAACATAATTTATATAGGAGACTATAACTTACCAAACCTTGTTTATTCATCTACTATAGAAAACCTTATAACAGGAACTAGTGATAAAGATAAAATTATTTGTGACAGCTTCTCTTCACTAGATTTAATTCAATACAATCGCGTAGCTAATAACAACGACGTTATCCTCGATTTAATACTTAGTTCAATACCAAATACCTTTGTAAAAAAGTTATCTCAAGGTTTAGTTCCAATCGATTCCCACCATCCGCCGCTTTTGACGCTTATTAATCTTCCATATTCTACACCCTCTATTGCTCCATTGGCAAGTTGGCGTTATAATTTTAAAAATGCCAACTATAGCGAATTAAACGACTACTTTTCTTCACTTAATTGGAATTTCCTACTAGATTATAACGATATAAACTCAGCAACTGACTCTTTTTATTCTATTATATTTTCTGCTATCGATATATGTATTCCTAAATCTAGACTACATAATTGTCATTTTCCAGCATGGTACAAGCCTGACACCATCAAACTTATTAACAAAAAACGTAAAACTTTAGCCCTCTATAGAAAAACTTCAAATGAAAGTCATTACAATTCTTATAGACATCTTCGTAGCCTTTCTAAAACGGCTATCAAAAATGATTACAAAAAATACTTAACGTACATACAAACCAATTTAAATCATAATACGAAGATCTTCTACAGTTTTATCAACTCCAAAAGTCAAAACTCCAAATCTTATTTTCCCAAATGTATGAATTTTGGTGACACCTGCTCTTCAAAACCTAAAGACATTGCCAATATGTTTGCCAATTTTTTCAAGTCTGTTTTTAATCAGGATGTTATCGACCCTAATATGACACTAGGCCTTTCAAGCGTCAACAACTATATCGATTTACACGACATAGATATCAGCATCGATGAAGTAAAAAATAAATTACTGTCCCTTAAATCTAGTTTTAATCCTGGACCAGATGGTATTCCTTCATTCTTCTTAACGCAGTGTGCTTCCAGTCTTGCCTGGCCAATCTGGATTTTATATAGTAAGTCTTTGACATCTGGTACATGCCCAGACATCTGGAAACAATCTTATGTCATACCTTTGTACAAATCAGGTGACAAAAAAGATGTTACAAACTATCGTCCTATTTCGATTATAGCAGCTTTATGCAAGGGTCTCGAAGCAATCATCAGTGATACATTAACTAGATCTTTTGCAAAGGTTTTGACACCTCATCAGCATGGATTTCTGCCAGGAAAAAGCACAGTAACAAATCTCGCCATCTACAATGAATATATCGTTGATGCTTTAGAGGAGGCAGCTCAAGTCGACGCTGTATATCTAGATTTCTGTAAAGCTTTCGACAGAGTCAACCATGCCCTTCTTTTAAAGAAATTAAAGATTTATGGCATACGAGGTTCTCTTCACCGCTGGTTAGCTTCTTACCTATTAAATCGTACCCAAAAAATCTCAGTGAAAGGCTTTTTATCAGATGCTATTTCTATTCCCTCGGGAGTCCCACAAGGCAGTCACATCGGTCCTATTTTATTTTTAATATTTATAAATGACCTGGCACTATCACTTAATTTTGTTAGATTTTTATTCTTTGCGGACGATCTTAAAATATTCATTAAAGTTAGCGACCTTGCAGATTGTCGAGCTATGCAATATACTCTTATAAAAATAACCAACTGGTGTAGTGAAAATAGCATGCAATTAAATAACAAAAAGTGTAAACAAATAACATTCTCCAGGAAAAAATCCACTATAAAATTTTCATATAGCATTGACAACCAAATCCTGGAGGCTGTTAGCGAAATTAGGGACTTGGGGATCATTTTTAATTCGACTTTAAGTTTTGTTAAGCATATAGATTTTGTAATCGATAAGGCTTTTCGAGTTAGTGGTTTCATAAGAAGAATGACTGCAGATTTCCATAGCATCATAGCAATTCGTAAGCTCTTTATTACCATGGTTAGACCAATTTTAGAATATGGCATTCTTATATGGTTTCCTTCATATGCAATTCACGAAACTCGCCTCGAAAGGGTACAAAGAAAGTTCTGTAATTATTTAATGTTTAAAATGGGTCTCAATAAATCAAATTACAATTATAATCAAAGACTTGCTATAACAGAACTAGAGACTCTTACACAGCGTAAGTTAAAATTTGAGCTTAAGTTTGCATATAAACTGTTCAATAATCAAATTGATAGTGCCGAATTCTTATCCTTATTTAATTTTAGAGTACCTTTGGTACATACTAGGAACCAGGACACAATCTTATGTTCGTTTAAAAGAACAAATCTCGGTTACAACACTTCTGTAGTAAATAGAATAGGATTGGCGGTTAATAACTTAGTAGATATAGACATCTTCAGTTGCTCGCAACATATGTTTAACAATTATTTAAGACGTTTGTAGTTTTAAGGACATCTTATTTCATATTTTGTTTTTTTTTTTAAACTATTGTCTATTTTGGAACTTTGTTCTGTTAGTCAATAAAATTTATTTATTTAAAAATTTATTTATTTAACGTTTTTTTTTTACAGATGTTCATAAAGAGACGTGGCACCACTGACAAAGGCAAAGACTACGAACACCTCTACATTGCCAGCTTAGTTTTAAAACTAATAATTGACGAAACCGTCGAAAATTTTTATTTGTCTTCGAATGATGACGAATTTGGTTCTTTCGACGACGTTGTAGTCAAAATAATACTCAAAGATCCAACGGAAACATACGCCGTCCAGCTGAAACACGTCACCAGAAAAGTAGTACTCATTGAGAGACTAAACTCACCGAGTGGTGAATTTAGCATCGAAAAGTACTACGAAAATTTCAAAAAGCATGAAAAGTTAAAGGAACCATCTGTGAAAATGGTTCTATTCACCAATTGTAAATTGAACACTGAGCACCTAAATCGGTTTAAATTTGGAAAATTGACACCATGCGAACAAAATAATTTGATTTCATATTCGGAAGGTAGCTGCTATACATTCGAAGCAAGTGAAGACAATTTGGAGAAGTATGAATTGTTTTTCAAAAATTTGTGTCTCTGTAGTGATCAACCAGATGTCAGACAGCTTAAAAAGGAAATATTTGAGACACTAGAGACACAATTCGGTAGTAATGAAAGTGTTTGTCGTGAGTACGTAGATTTCATAACTCAGTGGAGTATGAAAGAAGGTGAAAAATTCAAACTGAATAAGACATGGATGAAACACGTGATAGCCCTTTGCGTGTTTTCTCCGTTCACTAAACCACTGTCCTTCGTTGAGGGTAAATCTGTCAATGACAAAGAAAAAATTTTCAGAGAAGCTGTTTCTAAATGTGATTTAGCTGTCATTGATGAACATAATTTTGAAAGAATCGAATCGATTTGGTCAGACGTTGTCGACGACTTAGACGATGTAGAAAGCACGAGCAAAATTAATAACTTGTACGAACTTATAGAAGACGATATAAGCACAAAAGCAAGTCTATATAGTGCAGATCTTGTGAAAGTATCGAGGCTCATGTGGTTACTGGGAAAAAGCCCATTGGTCGTTGAAGGTTGCCCACAAGTTTATCAAGCAATAAAAACATGTCAAGCTCGAAATCTCATCATACTCGACGACCAAGAGACGTTTAACGACAAAATCGTAGAAAGGGAAAGGTTTCTACTTCAAAATTTGTCCGATTTAAAAAAACACACACAATTGTACGAAGAAATCATAAAGAATTTTACGTATTCTTTGGAAGGTCAAAGAGAAATTGAGTTGAAATTTCTAGTAGAAATGTGCGATGTTGACAATTTGATTTCCACAGATGATTTAGTTGAAATGTTGGATGCTCCATTGTTGATTGGAAACTTACAAGAAGTTCTGCCACCAAGTCATATCGAAAGAAGATTAACGAAAATTTTGATAGATGTTGACTTTTTGAAAAATACTGACCCGAATGCAGTTGCTTTAATTGACTCTGTGACAAATGGTAACTTATTTCAACAAAATTTGTCAGATGTAGTAGTCACCATAATAAATGATGTAGACAAGATTCAAGACACAATTCATAGTGTGAAGATTTACATTACTAGTGAAACTGATATATCACAGGAGAAATTTAATACTTTGTGCAAAGAGAATTCAGATTTTCAATTTCATCACTTTAAATATTTGGACGAACATCGTTTGGAGTGGCTAAGAAGTGAGAATTGTGAATCTTTTGAAAAACTTGAGAATTTCCAGCGACAAACCGAATACATGGAATTCATAGACGAACGACAATATTTCAGTGAATCGAGGCAAAATATTAACATTATTTGTGCAGATCCTGGTATGGGCAAAAGCACGTTAATGAAGAGCTTGAAAAGTGTCAGTTTTTCGTCGAAGTGGATCATTTTAATCTACACAAGGAATCATGCTCACCACTTTAGAAAAAACAAATCAGACATGGACAAGTTTTTGATATACGTGCTGAAAATCACTTGTAAGAAGTACTCAAATCCATTGCACCAAATAGTTTTTAAGACAATGCTGGAGCAGGATCGAATAGAAGTAGCATGGGATGGACTGGATGAAGCGTCTGATGCCACTCAAATGTCGGTTTTAAGTTTAGTGAAAACTTTTTCGGAAAGAAACGTGAAACAGTGGGTAACTTCTCGAAATAACTTGAAAAGTGTGTTAGAAAACATACTCGCTACGTTTTCACGAAGTATAAAGGAGTTTGACGACGACGAGCAACGAGAGTATATTAGCAGTCGCCTACAGCTCCCCGAGGAAGAGTTATCTCAAACTATTACTAAAATAAGAGACAATGTAATGGCTTTTCCGAATTATGAAATCTTGGGCATTCCTCTACAAATTTATATGTTGACAGAATTATTTTTACAAGACAAAGAAAAGTATCTAGATTTGTTAAACTACATTTTCACTGTTCTCGATTTATATGAACACTTTGTCGACGAAAAATTTAGGGTTTTGTATGAAGAGAAAAAAGAAATCGTACTATCGAATGAACAAAATGAAAAACTTTTCGTAAAAGAAAAAGAAACTAAAATGAACTACTACAAACGTTTGGCTGCCAGCTCTTACATTTACAACTCATTCGTGGAAAAACTTTTCAAGATAAATCGCCGTGTCGACAAAGAGGTTAAAAGTTTTTTGAAAAAAATTAAAAATGAAGGCGATGATGTAGGATTCATAACCCGGGTTACATCTGACGACGTCGAATTCGCCCACAATTCCTACGGGGAATATTTTGCAGCTCTCTATCTCTTTGAACATCGAAGTTCAAAAGCAACCGACAAGAAATTTATTTCGAACGGTCGTTATAACAATATTCGATTTTTTTTAGACTTGATGTTGACGAGAAAGTGTAAAGGTTTCGTAGGTGTTATTTACAAAAATTTTGGGATTTTGGGAGAACTCACTGAGGCAGATTTAAAGCAAAAAGATGTCATTGGTCGAGACATTTTGGAAGTGGCTTGTGCATGGACCAAAAATTACCCGATTGCGAAAAATAACACAGTTTTAAGAAATTCATATTTTAACCCAGATTGGATGTTTAAAAATGAAAAGGTCGAAAAGTATCTAAGTTATCGTGACGTAGGGCCCAAATTTATCAAATTTAGTTCTTCCACTAGTGCCTGTTTTCAAAAGTTGCTGATTTTCTTGCCATTTTTGATTCCGTTGTATGACGGGAATCAGTTTGCTGATGATTATTTAGGAGTAGTTTTGTACTATGCAGTTAGGTTTGATTTTTCAATGATTTTTGAGTGCATCGAAAATTCTCTCCCGTTAAAAAACACATACAGTAATATTAGTACAAGGAGTGTTTTAGCTGTAGCTCTTTATAATCGATCGAAGAAAATTCTGAACAAACTATTTTCCGAAGAAAAAGATTACTTCGAATGGGACTGTGTCTGGATTTTACGGGCTTCGTTAATGGAAACGGAGAGAATATTTGCATTTATGTTAGAGTTAGAAGAGTTTAAATTAGATGTTCCAAATTCGGACGGTCAGTTGCTGATACATTTTGCATCTGAGTACCGCCTAATTAAGACTTTAAGTTTATTAATCCTTAATGGTGTGAAACTGGATGTTCCGGATAGAAGCGGTCGGCTACCGATTCATTATGCTTGTGGCGAGGCAGATGTAGAGACAGTAGAATTCCTGCTAAAGATTGGTGCGGAAATCAATGCTCCGGATAAAGATGGTCTCTTGCCCATTCATTATGCATGTAAAAATTTTCACTACGGTTTTACAATTATAAAATTTTTGATCGAAAAAGGTGCTAAAGTAGATTCCCCCGACGCAGATGGTCGGCTAGTGATTCATTATGCTTGTGAGTCTACAGAATTTGAGTCAGTTGAATTCCTGCTAAAGAATGGTGCGGAAGTCAATGTTCCGGATAAAGATGGTCTACTAGCTATTCATTATGCATGTAAACACTTTTTCTTCGGCTGGAGCATTATATCATTGCTGATCGAAAAAGGTGCTAAAGTAGATTCCCCAGACCCAAATGGTCGACTGCCGATTCATTATGCCTGTGAATATGGATATGTGACTGAAGTAGAGTCAATAGTAGCTAATGGAGCCAAAGTGGATGCTCCGGATGGAAATGGTCGGCTGTCCATGCATTACGCGTGTTCAAACCCTGATTGGCGCAGAATTATACCATTTTTGATAGAAAAAGGTGCGAAAGTGGATACTCCAGATGGGGATGGTCGACTACCCATTCACTATGCCTGTGAACATGGAAATTTAGATATGGTGAAATTCCTTGTAACGAATGGTGCGAAAGTAACGGTTCGGGACGGTGATGGGCAACTGCCGGTGGATTACGCAAGTAAAAATGAAAAGTATGCTAAAGAAATCACTAAATTTTTGACAGAGCAAAATGAAATTCCGTAAGTCTAAAACATCGTACCGAACAAAATAATTACAGAATTAGTCACAAACAAGTATAGTGGTGGAAATACCCAGGTAAAACTTGTCCCCTCCCTATCTTATGCACTTTGTGTGACAAAAAATTACCAAATTTTGAGTATGTCGTCGAAGTTTTTTTGTCAAATTTTTAAATTTGTCATCATAATTATTTGTCAGACGAAATCTTGGCAACAGCTAACTTAAACAGACATATAAATGCGCATCATGTGGATGAAAAAAGTATTAGGTGGTATGAGTGTGAGTAGAAGTGTCCATGGACAAGGTATGGGGGCGCAAACTGTCTATATAAAAATGGAATAATTTAAAAATTAAATGTACCCTTTTTTGTGATTGGTTTTTGTAAACTTCATAATAAAGTTGTTTTGTAAATTTTAATTTTATTAGAAAAGAAAAAAATCTCGGAAACTACAGTACTTCAAATCTAGATAAAAAGGTGTGTCCTCGCTATGATGGTGTGATAAACTCTGGATGCGTAGATCCCTCTGATGGGTGGTTACCGGAGTGAAAATAATACGAGTGACCTCCTTTAACACTTTATTCCATTGCTCTATTTTACCGCATTCGTTACCATGGAATTATTGACCGTCCTGGTTCGATCTTTTGTGTCCCGTATATAGGGTCGACTTTACTTAACACCAGTCAAACGTGTTTATTGAATGGTGAGGTGTAAAGTGGCAGAATGACACATTTTACATTTGGTAAAGTACCCGTCTTCCTAGGTTAGATAAGCGAAATCTGCAATTATTCTAGGTGTTTGACTTGCAGAGGGACAGTGTGAAGAAAGCAAGAAGCTAAGAGAAAGAGATAGTTAAGTTGGGAAAGATAGAAAGAAGGGTTGTAATGTTCCGATTGGAGCGTCGACAAAGAACAAAAAGAAAGGGAATGGAGATCGTTTTAGACAACAACACAACCGTAAAAAGAACAATAATATGAAAATTAAGCGTTATCCAAAGTAATTTAATAAATTTAAATTAAAATTGAGAAAATCAGGCAACCAATTATACATATTTTAGATATCAAGTTATGATTTCCGCCCACAAGTAAATAAAAATAATATGCTGCGACCATAATAACAATTGAAATTGTATCATTCCTTTAATACTACATACAACGACTGATTTTGTTGTAATTCAAGATGACAAACGTAAGTTATTAAGACATTTTTTTAAATAAAATTATTTCTAATAAAATTTACAGATTACGAAAAGCACAAATATCGACGAATTGGATGATCCAGCTGAAAACTCTTCCTCAGTAAGTCCTAAATAATTAATGTTAGTTTATTGTTCAAAAACACGACTTAAACCCGACTTATTTTATGGTATATGACGTGTAGACATAAGTAAGGCTTATAGTCAAACAATTGATTAAATTTTACACAAAAACTAATAAGATTTCTTTACAAAAAAATGATCGATTGCATCTTGAGGCAACGTGCCACAGGCTGTCTGTACCTGCGGACAAGGTAAACGCCGCAGTCTTTCATTTACACATGTTCGATTGGATTTAAATCAGGTGACCGTGGCGACCAAGGCAAAAATTTGACATTATTTTCGGCCAAGAAATCTAAACTCATGTTAGCTATGTGAAGGCGGGGATTACTTTGTTGCAAACTTACCTCTGTAAAATATATGACAATTCGAATACACCAAAAAAATGACAAGTTAATACTATAAACAAGATATATAAAAACCTCCAGCAGATAGTGAAACAGACACAAATTTTTATAAGTGCTAGATCACCTTCAAAATTTAATTAATTGTTTGACTTTATGCTTTATTTAGCGTTTTTGTGTAGTTTCTATCTGTTAGCATAGGTAATTTTGGGGTACGTTCAGTTTTAAAATGATATAGTGTCAATGCATTACGAGTATTGGCTAAATAAACAACCAGTCATTATAATATGAGGTGCAATTATTTCCTAGGCTTTATAACCACAATTTCCTTGTTAAATGCTGTTGCGACGTTGTCATGATATTCCAATTCTGTTGAATTTTTTTAGCAATGGAAGGGTTCACAAAAAAATTTGCAACAGGGTTATTTTTTAAATCTATACTACAATATTTTGTGGAAGAATAAATAAAGTATGCGCTTTCTTGTGGTCTCACTTAAATCACAATTTAAAAATACAGAACGTTTAAAAAAATCTGTAATTTTCCAATTTCGTTGTTTTAGCTTTTTCAGAAAGAACATATTTTATTTACATATTTTTGTTCTCATTCTTCTAATTTATCGATGTGTCTCTTAAAAAAGTAAAAAAAATCAATAACAAAAAACAACATCAGATGGGGTAATAAAATACAGGGTGTTCTATTTGAAAAAACTGAAATATTGATATTTACAAATTGTAATAATCAAACATTTTTATAAACACTCTGTATGCGACAATGTGATTTCATTTATACCACAACAAAGTGCGTACCTTTATTTAGCTCTCCACAAAATATTGTAACACAGACTTTAAAAATAACCCTACTGCGATTTTTTTGTAAAGAAAAATGGAATAACGTGGCAACGTGGCATTAGAATTTGAAAAATAAACTGTGGTTGTAAAGCCTAAGAAGAGGTCAGCCAAAATATCTAAGAATATAAAAGGTGTTTTATTGAAAGAAAAACTAAATTGTGTTTTGCGCCTTAAAAGCAGAACACTGGAGAGCTAAAAATAATTTTAGAGCATAGTCCTGAAAGAACCCCACAACTTTGGTCTTTACCTTTTTTCTGACTCACTCTGTATATCTTAATTAAAAAAGAGTATTATTTAATGTATTGAAAAATTATATGCTTTTGTATAAAAAAAAAAAACAAAATTTATGTCATTTCATCTATCCATTTATAATAGACTATGTTATGTATAATGAACATGCCAAATTTCAATTTTTTATGTTAAAAAATAGTTGAGATATTTGAGTGGTACAGCTACGCTGGGACACCCGGTATACGGCAACACTGGTTTACTGCCATATGAAAATTAATGTGGATAAACACATCCATACATACAGGGTGAGACGCTAAGAAAAGTCAAAGACCAAAGTTGTACGGTTATTTGAGGACTATACTCTAAAATTAAAACTAAGCTGCATTGCGTTTTAAGGCGTAACACACATTTTAGTTTTTGAAATAAAACACCTATATAACTTTACATATTTTAATTGACCTCTCCTTGGATTTTACAACCACAGTTTACTTTTGAAATGCTGACGCGATGTTGCCACTTTATGTCAATTTTCTTTGAAATTTTTTGTCAAACATTTTTCATTTTTTATTCAAATGTTGAACAAAAAAAAACGCAGATTTTTAATTCACCCGACCCTCTAAAAATTGAAATTATACAACTTAGAATTTTTTGCTATTTTCGTTGACTTCTACTTTCAAGAATTTGGACATTGCCTCTCAGAGGACTCCAGATTCTCCTCAGTAGTGTTATTAGAGTTGCATTATTCATTCCTCTTGAATAATAGCTTACATTATGTGGTTGCTGAATTATATAATACTATAACTACAATTTGTCCTTACGGTTTATTGTGGGTTGCCTAATTATCAAGTTTTCTATCGTTTTGAAACTGAACACGGCCCTGTTTCAAAAACTCCCGGTATATTCTAGTAAAAACATAATTTCATTTTTTTCCAGATGTTCATAAAGAGACGTGGCACCACTGACAAAGGCAAAGACTACGAACACCTCTACATTGCCAGCTTAGTTTTAAAACTAATAATTGACAAAACCGTCGAAAATTTTTATTTGTCTTCGAATGATGACGAATTTGGTTCTTTCGACGACGTTGTAGTCAAAATAATACTCAAAGATCGTACAGAAACATACGCCGTCCAGCTGAAACACGTCACAAGAAAAGTAGTACTCATTGAGAGACTAAACTCACCGAGTGGTGAATTTAGCATCGAAAAGTACTACGAAAATTTCAAAAAGCATGAAAAGTTAAAGGAACCATCTGTGAAAATGGTTCTATTCACCAATTGTAAATTGAACACTGAGCACCTAAATCGGTTTAAATTTGGAAAATTGACACCATGCGAACAAAATAATTTGATTTCATATTCGGAAGGTAGCTGCTATACATTCGAAGCAAGTGAAGACAATTTGGAGAAGTATGAATTGTTTTTCAAAAATTTGTGTCTCTGTAGTGATCAACCAGATGTCAGACAGCTTAAAAAGGAAATATTCGAGACACTAGAGACACAATTCGGTAGTAATGAAAGTGTTTGTCGTGAGTACGTAGATTTCATAACTCAGTGGAGTATGAAGGAAGGGGAAAAATTCAAACTGAATAAAACATGGATGAAACACGTGATAGCCCTTTGCGTGTTTTCGCCGTTCACCAAACCGCTGTCCTTCGTTGAGGGTAAATCCGTCAATGACAAAGAAAAAATTTTTAGAGAAGCTGTTTCTAAATGTGATTTAGCTGTCATTGATGAAAATAATTTTGAAAGAATCGAATCGATTTGGTCAGACGTTGTCGACGACTTTGACGATATAGAAAGCACGAGCAAAATTAATAACTTGTACGAACTTATAGAAGACGATATAAGCACAAAAGCAAGTCTGTATAGTGCAGATCTTTTGAAAGTATCGAGGCTCATGTGGTTACTGGGAAAAAGCCCATTGGTCGTTGAAGGTTGCCCACAAGTTTATCAAGCAATAAAAACATGTCAAGCTCGAAATCTCATCATACTCGACGACCAAGAGACGTTTAACAACAAAATCGTAGAAAGGGAAACGTTTCTACTTCAAAATTTGTCCGATTTAAAAAAACACACACAATTATACGAAGAAATCATAAAGAATTTTACGTATTCGTTGGAAGGTCAAAGAGAAATTGAGTTGAAATTTCTAGTAGAAATGTGCGATGTTGACAATTTGATTTCTACAGATGATTTAGTTGAAATGTTGGATGCTCCGTTGTTGATTGGAAACTTACAAGAAGTTCTGCCACCAAGTCATATCGAAAGAAGATTAACGAAAATTTTAATAGATGTTAACTTTTTGAAAAATGTTGACCAGAATGCAGTGGCTTTAATTGACTCTGTGACCAATGTTAAGTCATTTCAACAAAATTTACCAGATGTAGTAATCACGAAAATAGATGATATAGAAACGATTCAAAATACAATTCATAGTCTAAGGATCTACATTACTGGTGAAACTGATATATCACGAGAGAAATTTAATACTTTGTGCAAGAAGAATTTAGATTTTCAATTTCATCACTTTAAATATTTGGACGATCATCGTTTGGAGTGGCTAAGAAGTGAGAATTGTGAGTGTTTCGAAAAACTTGAGAATTTCCGGCGACAAACAGAATTCTTGGAAGTCATGGACCAACGACAATATTTTAGTAAATCGGGGCAAAATATTAACATTATTTGTGCAGATCCTGGTATGGGGAAAAGCACGTTAATGAAGAGCTTGAAAAGTGTCAGTTTTTCGTCGAAGTGGATCATTTTAATCTACGCAAGGAATCATCCTCACCACTTTAGAAAAAATAAATCAGATATGGACAAGTTTTTAAAATATCTGCTGAAAATTACTTGTAAGAAGTACTCAAACCCATTGCACCAAATAGTTTTTAAGACAATGCTGGAGCAGAATCGAATAGAAGTAGCGTGGGACGGACTGGATGAAGCGTCTGATGCAACCCAAATTTCGGTTTTAAGTTTAGTGAAAACTTTTTCGCAAAGAAACGTGAAACAGTGGGTAACTTCTCGAAATAACCTGAAAAGTTTGTTAGAAAAGACACTAGGTATGTTTTCACGAAGTATAAAGGAGTTCGATGACGACGAACAACGAGAGTACATCAGGAGTCGCCTTCAGGTCCCCGAAGAAGAGTTAGCTGAAACTATTACTAAAATAAGAGAAAATGTAATGGTTTTCCCGAACTGTGAAATCTTGGGCATTCCTCTACAAATTTATATGTTGTCAGAACTGTTTTTACAAGATAAAGAAAAGTATCTGGATTTGTTGAACGACATTTTCACTGTTCTCGATTTGTATGAACACTTTGTCGACGAAAAATTTAAGGTTTTGTACGAAGAGAAAAAAGAAATCGTGCTATCGAATGAACAAAATGAAAACATTTTTTTCCAAGAAAAAGAAACTAAAATGAATTACTACAAGCGTTTGGCTGCCAGCTCTTACATTTACAACTCATTTGTGGAAAAACTTTTCAACATAAATCGCCGTGTCGACAAAGAGGTTAAAATTTTTTTGGAAAAAATTAAAAATAACGGCGATGATGTAGGATTCATAACCCGGGTTACATCTGACGACGTCGAATTCGCCCACAATTCCTACGGGGAATATTTTGCAGCCCTCTATCTCTTTGAACATCGAAGTTCAAAAGCACGCGACAAGAAATTTATTTCGAACGGTCGTTATAACAATATTCGATTTTTTTTAGACTTGATGTTGACGAGAAAGTGTAAAGGTTTCTTAGGTGTTATTTACAAAAATCTTCCGATTTTGGGAGAACTTAGTGAGGTAGATTTGAAGCAAAAAGATGTCATTGGTCGAGATATTTTGGAAGTGGCGTGTGCATGGAGCAAAAATTACCCGGTTGCGAAAAATAAGACTGTTATAAAACAGTCCGAGTTTAATGAATATTGGATAATTAAAGATGAAGAGGAAAAAGTCGAAAAGTATCTAAATTATCGTGACGTAGGGCCTAAATTTATTAAATTCGGTTCTTCCACTGGTGCCTGTTTCCAAAAGTTGCTGCTTTTCTTGCCATTTTTGATTCCGTTGTATGACGGGAATCAGTTTGCTGATGATTATTTAGGAGTAGTTTTGTACTATGCAGTTAGGTTTGATTTTTCGATGATTTTTGAGTGCATCGAAAATTCTCTCCCTTTAAAAAACACATACAGTAATATTAGTTCAAGGAGTGTTTTAGCTGTAGCTCTTTATAATCGATCGAGGAAAATTTTGGGCAAACTGTTTTCCGAAGAAAGAGATTACTTTGAATGGGACTATGTAACGGATTTACGGATTTCACTAGTGGAAACTGACATAATGTTAGCATTTATGTTAGAGTTAGAAGAGTTTAAATTAGAAGTTCCAAATTCGCAAGGTCAGTTGCTAATACATTTTGCTTCTAAGAATCACCTAATGAAGACTCTAAATTTATTAATTCTTAAAAGTGCGAAAGTGGACGTTCCGGATAGAAGTGGTCGGCTACCAATTCATTATGCTTGTGGTTCTGTAGAATTAGAACCAGTAGAATTTCTGCTGAAGAATGGTGTGGAAGTCAATGTTCCGGATAAAGATGGTCTACTGCCCATTCATTATGCGTGTAAAAATCTTCCCAAAGGATACAAAATTATACCACTTTTGATCGAAAAAGGTGCTAAAGTAGATTCCCCAGACGCGAATGGTCGACTGCCGATTCATTATTATTATTATTATTATTATTATTATATATATAGTCGGTCAACAGGTTATTTACCCAATTACAGACCAACAAATAACCGAAAGCAAATGATAAGAAGTAGAATAACTAATCAGCAGCTACAAATTACTGTGAATCCCAAAAAGGAAAAGTTTAAAGCTACTCCAAATCCCAATGCAGATTTTCAGATTAGGTAGGTCAAAATATACGTGTAATCAATCAATAATCATGGAGGATCAGTTAATTCAGATAGTAAATTAACTTACGAAGTAATGTGAAAGCCTACTAAATTTGGGAATAATTAAAGAATTTAAGAGCCCGCAGTGATGTTGAAAAAAGATCAATCTTATTATGTGTTCTATTACCGATCCTACACATAGTGGACATAGGAGAGAATTTGGCGATATCAGTTCTCGGGCAGGCTATGTAGAAAATTTCAGAGTGGCGAGATACTAGACTTCGAGGACGTGCATTAAATGATAATCTGGCTAGCATTAAAGGACAGTCAACACTGTTATTTATCATTTTAACTAGGAACAACACAAAGAATTTTTTACAAGTTTCCATAAAACTGGAGAAAGTGAAGCGATTTAAAAGCTCAGATTGAGGAAAACCAATAGGTGGGTAAAAACCATTCTCTCGGTAAAACAAATATTTAAGAAACCTTCGTATGACACGTTCCAGATGCATTAAATGAATGTTATGATGAGGACACCAAATAATGCAAGCATAGTAAAGTTTGCTGCCAATTAATGAATTAAAAAGTCGAATGATAGTGTCACAGTGTTGAAAATCTCTAGAGTTCCTTATGATGAAACCCAAAGTTTTCATGCAGTCTGCCACAACTTTGTTAATATGATAAGCAAATGTGAGCCTACTATCAAAAACAACCCCAAGATCCAAAACGGTCTGAGGCCTGGCTAAGACTACCCCATTAAGGACATATTCAAAGTGAATATTATATCGCTTTAAAGAAAATGACATTACACAACATTTATCTTGATTTAACAAAAGCCTGTTCAAATTGCACCATACCACAATCCTATTCAAATTATGTTGTAACTTAAGGCAGTCATCAGTTGAACTTACTCTATTGTATATCTTGATGTCATCTGCATATAAAGAAAATTCAACATCTAATTCATTCGAGATATCATTGATGAACAATAAAAAAAGAAGCGGACCAAGTACAGAACCTTGTGGTACTCCCGATAAAACAGTAATGACATCAGAATCATATCCACAGCAATGGACATATTGTTTTCTGTCACCTAAGTACGACCCAAAAAAGGTAATTAATTGCATATTCAGGCCCAAAGCATAAAGTTTATCAATTAATATACCATGATCTAGTTTGTCAAAAGCCTTTGAAAAATCAAGATATATTACATCGGTCTGTAGTCCACAATCGATAGAGTCTGCGATAAACTGTGTCACACAAAGAAGATTTGTAACTGTAGAGCGGCCACTCATAAAGCCATGTTGACGCTCTGTAATTGAAGCGGCTACTTGAAAATACAGTTGTTTATAAATTAAAGATTCAAAGATTTTTGCAAAATTATTAAGAATTGAGACAGGTCGATAGTTTTCAACAGCAGTTCGAATTTTGCCTTTATGAACAGGAATGATTTTGGAAAGCTTCCAACAATCTGGAAATGTTCCTAAGTTAACACAGAGATTAAAAAGAACAGATAACGGTTTAATTAAAACCCGAGCACAATCTTTTATGATAAATGCTGGTATACCATCAGGACCCTGAACATTGTTCGATTTAATTCTGTTGATAGCTTCAAGCACTTCATTTTCACTTATGATAGACACATTTATGTTCACATTTGTATTGTCATATTTAACTTTGTTAAGGTTACAGCTAGAACTAGGGATATAGGTTGATTCATAAAATTGTGCAAACGCATTAGCAATATTTTTTGCTCCTGTTACAACAGTATCACCAAGAGTCACACAAGATGGTATCCCGGTGTGTCGTCTTTTACGTCGTATATAACCCCAAAAAGTTGACGGATCTGTGTTAATCATGTCTTCAGAATTCTTGATAAATGCATTATAAGCTATTGATATTTCTCGCTTAATGCTACGTCTCAATTCCCTGAATGCAAGCGCATCAGCTGTATTTCCGTACTTTAAATATCTCCTTCTAAGCTGATTTTTTGAACGAACCTGCCGAATAATTTCAGGTGAAAACCATGCAGGGTAGGTATATTCCCTTTTTTTATACATAGGTATGTGTTTATCGAACAGTTTATATATTAGATCATAAAATAAGCAACAGGCAGAGTTAATATCAGTGGATTTATTAAGGAGAGACCAATCAGTATTTAGAATATCCTCATATAGATTAAGAAAATTGGCCTTACGAAAATTGTAACTGGTTCCATTAGACGCTGCTTTCAGAAAATTGCTTGATGATATGTTATTCACAAATACACCTACATGGAGAGAAGGATGACGTGGATCTTCATCTACAAATGGATCATCAGAAGTTAATACTGAACAGCACATATTGGATAAGACGATGTCAAGAAGCCGATTATCACAATTTAAAATGGTATTAAACTGTTTCAGTTCAAACATTTTCATAAAATTACACAATTCCAAACTTTTTATACAATGAGGATTACTAAGAGATGAAAAAAATTCAGGTATATTAAAGTCACCAATTATAAGAATATTGGAGTCATCCAACAGCTCTAACGTTGCAAACGCTTCAAAGATTAATTGATAGTAATCTAATGCCAACGAAGGAGGAATATATAGGACAAATATTGTGATAGATAAAGAAGCAATCAATACCTTAACACAGACAATGTCAATAAGGTGAAGGTTATTAAAAGGAGTGTTAGATAGATTAATTTCAGTATAATGGAGTCCCAATCTAATCGCAATAAGCACACCACCACCTGTCTGTTTGTTGGTACGCAACAAGTCTCTGTCCCTTCTAATGATTTCATAGTTTTGGTCAAAGACTTCACTGTCATTAACTCCACTGTGCAGCCATGTCTCAGAAAGTGCGATTAAATCATAGGCACAGGCAGCTACAGCATTGGAGAACCGCAACAGCTTGGAATTGAGACCACGAACATTTTGATAATAGAGAGATATATTTCCTTTATCTACACTCTTGTTCGATATTGCTGGAGATGATGCTGATGAGGAAGGAATTAAGTTAGGAAAATAGTTTAATTGCTACAAGCTAGATATCCCAAAGACATCTAACTTGATTTTCTCAATAGTCCGTTTATAAAAAAAACAGTTGTTAATGTCCCAGCAAGCATGGGAAATGTCCTCATCACTTAAATTGTCTTTAATTTGAATGCTAACACAGTTGATACATCGCAGTTGTTCATTAGTAGCATGACAATCATTTACCCTATGTGGACCAGAGCACCTAGGGCAAGAGATTTTTTTTTTACAAGTCTTTAACGAATGATTAAGACCATTACAATTAAAGCATCTAATTACATCAATAGCGTCATAGATGTTACAACCATCAAGCCCAATTAGGCAATGACCATAAAGAAGAGCATTTTTGTATGTAGAGATGTTAACCTCTAATATGACTTGAAAATAATTATTACGATTTTTTATAGGAAAGTATTTAAGAATTTTGCACTGAGAAGATTCACTGAAGATATGTTTATTTTGTTTAATAAGAAATGGAATTATCTGTTGCTCATCAATATCACTGGATATGCCAGAAATGCGCAGCTTCGGTTTTGGAGTCTTTAAGTCGCTTATTTCATACTTATCACTCAAGTCTTTTAACTGAGATAATTTTTTGAGTTCACTAGGATGTTCACAATTAAGAACTATACCACCATTTTTAATAAATTTAACTTTTGCAATGCCCGGTTCACTATCAGGTTGAATGTTGGATATGATATCAGATTTGGTTTTTGCTATGGTTTGAGTAACGTCCTTAGGTCTTATTACAACTGCAGTAGTATTTTTAAGAGTGTCTGAATAGGAAGGAGACTTTACGGTATCATTGACAACCTGAGGGACTTCAACATGCAACTTTGCAGTTAGTTTGGAGATTTCTTCTCGGAGCTTCGTATTTTCATTTTTTAAATCGGTAATTTGTTGGCTAAGTATGAAAAAGTTTTTATTAACAGCAGAGGAAAAGTCATTGAAGATAGTTGCTAGTGTATCGGGCAGTATATTCAGACTGTCACTAGTTACAGAACTTGGAATAGAAGCAGTTAACTCATTTTTTTGACAATCATCAACCGTAAGAGAGGATGTACTGCATAGACCACAACTCCATTCATTAATTAATCTGCTTTCTTTCAATGAAGAAAATGCAGATTTGCTAAGGTTAACACATGATATGTGATAGTTCGCACCACATGTTTGCCGACAGTTAATATACTCATCATTCCTCCCTATATTTTTATTGCATTTCTTACACCTAATCGCCATTTCTTACAAACCCCCAGAGGGGGTTTGATACGCCAATATTATATCAAATCAAAGATAGTAAATAATGCAAGTCAACCTCAGTTCAGTAGAAAAAGATACAGTAAGAAATTTATCGGGTGGACTAAATCATTCACATCTACGTTAAAAACCTCAGTCAGCTATACCACAGAAAAAGTTACGATAAGCTATTATAACCACAATTAGACGGGACAAGAAGTGATTTTTACTTCATTAATCATAAAAAAAAGGCGATGTTCTAATTACCACCTTAACTGCTGCATGAAACGCTTTCTAACGGCACCACTTTTAGTATAAATTACAACGAAAAACCCACTAAATCACAGAACATTGGAGAGCTAAGAACTTGGTTGTACACTCACACTCACGTTCACACACATTATGCTTGTCAACATGGAGATGTGAATGAAGTAGAGTCGATAGTAGTAAATGGAGCCAAAGTGAATGCTCCGGATCGAAATGGTCGCGTGTCCATGCATTACGCGTGTATGAATATCATTGATTCTTCCAGGATGATACCATTTTTGATTAAAGAAGGTGCAAAAGTGGATTCTCCAGATGGGGATGGTCGACTACCCATTCACTATGCCTGTGAACATGGAGATTTGGATGTGGTGAAGTCATTGGTAACGAATGGTGCGAAACTGACGGTTCGGGACGGTGATGGGCGACTACCGGTGGATTACGCAAGTAAAAATGAAGAGTATGGTAAAGAAATCACAAAATTTTTGATAAAGCAAAGTGGAAGTCCATAATTGTAAAACTTTTTCTAATGAGTCATGAAATATCTAGATAAAGAACTTGAAACACCGCCAGATATTGTTAATGCATTTGGTGAATTCTATATAAGCGTCTACGCCCGTCCACATTCTACAAATTTTAATATAAGAAACGAAGAGTCCAATAATCTGCAAATAAAGATTGATGGGATATGTCTCAAGAGGAAATATTGGAAACTCAATGACAGCCGGTGTGGATAATATCCCGAGTTTCCTCATAATTGATTGTGCCTCAATATTTGTAACATTGTTATTTTATTTGTTTAATATACGTATTATCAAATATTCATCATTTTCCACGATTTGTAAGAAAGCCAGTATTTCACCAGTTTTCAAGAAAGGAGATCCCACAATTATTAAAAATTACCGACCTATCTGCATACTTTCCAACGTTTCAAAAAATTTTGAAATCATTCTCTATAAAGGACTTTATTTTAAGGTTAAAAGGCCCGCTGTCACAAATCTTGCCTGTTTCAGTCAGTATGTATCAGAAGCGCTGGACCATAATACTCAAGTGGACTGTATCTACAAAGCTTTTGATCAAATAGACCATCATATTTTTATTCGTAAACTCAATTTGTTTGGCTTTTCCAGTTCTTTAATATCGTTGTTCGAATCTTACATATTTAACAGAATTCTTTTTGTCAAGTATCGTAATTTCTTGTCCGATCGTTTCTGTCCTACATCGGGGGTGTCACAAGGATCCAACCTGATACCTCTGCTCCTCGTATTATGCGTATATATTATTATATATAGTATATATATTAACGACATATATTAACGACATTGCAAATGAACTCTTCTATCAGAAGCTACTCTTTGCCGACGATTTAAAACTTTAGGTATTTGTCAATCATTTCCACTGAAGATTGTTAAAGTTTGCAGACCAACTTAAACCAGTTGTTCTCTTGGAGTATTCAGAATCAATTATGCTTAAACAAAAAGAAATGGTTCGTAGGCACTTACTCTAGAAAAATAAACACATTGTTGATTGAGTGAATAAAGTTTTATAAAATATTTGGATTTTTTTAGAGGAACCGCCGGGAGTTTTTTAATCCTGACTGGATCAATTGTGACTCCTTCAAATTTATTTCGCACAGTATTATTTATTCTTTAGAGAACTAGTTATTTTGATTCTCATTTCTTTTTCTATAATAGTAAAAATAATTACTTTTGTTTTTGTTATTTTACTTTGTACTTTGACTTACATCTAATTTTCGTATATTTAATTTCCTGTAACTGCGTGCTGTGCTCGTTGGAAATAAATCTATTATTCTTATTATCATATAAGGCTAAGGCAAAAGCTAACTTAAACAGACATATAAATGCGCATCACTTGGATGAAAAAAGTGTTAGCTGGTATGAGTGTGAGAAGTATCCGTATAAAAGACAAAGTATGGGGACGCAAACTGTCTATATAAAAGTGGAATAATTTAAAAATTAAATGTACCCTTTTTTGTGATTGGTTTTTGTAAACTTGAGAATAAAGTTGTTTTGTAAATTTTAATTTTATTAGAAAAGAAAAAAATCTCGGAAACTACAGTATCAACTACTTGTGTCCTCGCTATGATGGTGTGATAAACTCTGCATGCTCTGATCCTTCTGATGGGTGGTTACCGTAGTAAAAGTGAGACGAGCGACCTCCTTTAACACTTTATTCCATTGCTCTGTTTTACCGCATTCGTTACCATGGAACTATTGACCGTCCTGGTTCGATCTTTTGTGTTCCGTATATAGGGTCGACTTTACTTAATACCAGTCAAACGTGTTTATTGAGTGGTGAGGTGTAAAGTGGCAGAGGGACAGTGTGAGGAAAGCAAGAAGCTAAAAGAAAGAGATAGTTAAGTTGGGAAAGATAGAAGAAGGGTTGTAATGTTCCGATTGGAGCGTCGACAAAGAACAGAAAGAAAGGGAATGGAGATGTTTTAAACACCAATACAACCGTAAAAAGAAGAAGATAGGAAAAACAAAAAGAACAGAAATATGATAATTAAGCGTTATGCAAAGTAATTTAATAAATTTAAATTAAAAATGATAAAATCAGGCAACCAATTATACACGTTAAAGATATAAAGTTATGATCTCCCCCCACAGATACATAAAAATAGCATGCTACAACTATAATAACAGTTGATTTTGTATCATTCCTTTAATACTATATATAACGACTGATTTTGCTGTAATTCAAGATGACAAACGTAAGTTATTAATAATTTTTTTTTAAATAAAACTATTTGTAATAAAACTTACAGACTACGAAAAGCACAGATGTTGACGAAGTGAATGATCCATCTCAAAACTCTTCCTCAGTAAGTCATAAATAATTAATGTTAGTTTATTGTTATATAAGTAAGGCATAAAGTCAAACCATTGATTACATTTTCCACAAAAACTAATAAATATTTCTTTACAAAAAATTGATTGATAGCATCTTGAGGAAACGTGTGCCAGGCTGTCTGCACCTGTGGACGTAATTCATTTAACGTATTGGGAGGGTGATGTAAACGACGCAGTCTTTTATCAACACATGTTCGATTAGATTTAAATCAGGTGACCGTGGCGGCCAAGGCAAAAAATTGACATTATTTTCGGCTAAGAAGTCTAAACTCATGTTAGCTATATGAAGGCGGAGATTACCTTGTTGCAAAATTACCTCTGTAAAATATATGACAATTCGAATACACCAAAAAAATGACAAGTTAATACTATAAACAAGATATACAAAAACCTCCACCAGATAGTGAAACAGACACAAATTTTTATAAGTGCTAGATCACCTGCAAAATTTAATAAATTGTTTGACTTTATGCTTTATTTAGCGTTTTTGTATAGTTTATATGTGTTAGCATAGGTAATTTTGGGGTACGTTCAGTTTTAAAAGTGTGTCAATGCATTACGAGTATTGGCTAAATATACAACCAGTCATTATAATGTGAGGTGCAGTTATTTCCTAGGCTTTATAACCTCAATTTCCTTGTTAAATGCTGTTACGATTTTGTCATGATATTCCAATTCTATTGAATTTTTTTAGCAATGGAAGGTTTCACAAAAAATTCGCAACAGGGTTATTTTTTAAATCTATGCTACAATATTTTGTAGAAAAATAAATAAAGTATGCGCTTTCTTGTGGTTTTACTTAAATCAGAATTTAAAATACAGAATGTTTAAAAAAATCCTAAAACTCTAGAATTTTCAAATTTCGTTGTTTCAGTTTTTTCGGAAAGAACATATTTTATTTATTTATTTTTGTTCTCAATATTCTAATATATCGATGTGTCACTTAAAAAAGTAAAAAAAAAAACAATAATAAAAAACAAAATCAGATGCAGTAATAAAATACAAGGCGTTCTATTTGAAAAAAAACTTAAAATATTGATATTTAGAAATTGTAATAGTCAAATATTTTTATAGACAGCCTGTATGCGACAATGTCATTCCGTGTATACCACAACAAAGTGCATACATTTATATATCCCTCCATAAAATATTATAACACAGACTTTAAAAATAACCAAACTGCGATTTTTTTTGGGAAGAAAATTGGAATAATGTGCCGACGTGGCATTAAAATTTCAAAGAACTGTGGTTGTATAGCCTAAGAAGAGGTCAGTCCAAATATCTAAAAATATAGAGGGTGTTTTATTGAAAAAAAAACTAAAGTATGTGTTGCGCCTTAAAAACAGAACACTCAGTAGAGCTAAAAATAATTTTAGAGCATAGTCCTGAAAGAACCGCACAACTTTGGTCTTTATCATTTTTCTGACTCACTCTGTATATCTTAATTAAAAAAGAGTAATATTATTTAATGTATAAAAAAATTATATTCTTTTGTATAAAAAAAAATAAATAAAATTGATGTCATTTCATCTATCCATTTAATAGACTATGTTATGTATATTGAAATAATATTTATTTTTAAAAATAATTGAGATATTTTAGTGGAACAGGTACATCCTATATACGGCAACACTGGTTTACCTGCCATATGAAAATTAATGTGGCTAAACACATCCGTACGTACAGAATAGGACGCTAATAAGAAAGTCAAAGACCAAAGTTGTACGGTTCTTTGAGGACTACACTCTAAAATTAAAAACTAAGCAACACTTGTGTTTTAAGGCGTAACATACAACTTACTTTTTAAAATACAACACTTGTACAAGTTTACATATTTTAATTGACCTCGCAAACCACAGTCTACTATTGAAGTTCTGATGCGACGTTGCCACGTTATGTCAATTTTCTTTGAAATTTTTTGGCAAATATTTTTCTTTTTTTATTCAAATGTTGAACAAAAAACGAAGAATTTTAAATCACTCGACCCTCTAAAAATTGAAATTATACAACTTAGAATTTTTTGCTACTTTCGTTGAATTCTACTTTCAAGAATTTGGACATTGCCTCTCAGAGGACTCCAGATTTTCCTCAGTTATGTGATTAGAGTTGCATTATTCACTCCTCTTGAATAATAGCTTACATTATGTGGTCGCTGAATAATATAATACTATAACTACAATTTGTCCTTAGAGTGTAATTGTGGGTTGCCTAATTATCAAGTTTTCTATCGTTTTGAAACTGAACATGGTCCTGTTTCAAAAACTCCCGGTATATTCTAGTAAAAACATAATTTAACGTTTTTTTTTACAGATGTTCGTAAAGAGACGTGGCACCACTGACAAAGGCAAAGACTACGAACACCTCTACATTGCCAGCTTAGTTTTAAAACTAATAATTGACGAAACCGTCGAAAATTTTTATTTGTCTTCGAATGATGACGAATTTGGTTCTTTCGACGACGTTGTAGTCAAAATAATACTCAAAGATCGTACAGAAACATACGCCGTCCAGCTGAAACACGTCACAAGAAAAGTAGTACTCATTGAGAGACTAAACTCACCGAGTGGTGAATTTAGCATCGAAAAGTACTACGAAAATTTCAAAAAGCATGAAAAGTTAAAGGAACCATCTGTGAAAATGGTTCTATTCACTAATTGTAAATTGAACACTGAGCACCTAAATCGGTTTAAATTTGGAAAATTGACACCATGCGAACAAAATAATTTGATTTCATATTCGGAAGGTAGCTGCTATACATTCGAAGCAAGTGAAGACAATTTGGAGAAGTATGAATTGTTTTTCAAAAATTTGTCTCTCTGTAGTGATCAACCAGATGTCAGACAGCTTAAAAAGGAAATATTTGA